AACTTAACTCAGAAGGCACCTCGAGATAATCGGAGTGCCAGTGACACCATAGATAAATACACCTCTACCTAGAGGGGTTTGATTAATGCCGTAAAGATCCCATACGGTTTTTACGCTGCTACGTTTGCACCCGGGTGCCTACTAATTAGCCTCGGCTGAACTGATGATATCGCTTCATTGCAGTTGCTTCAGTACGGCCTTGATGTTAAGGATTCCAGTCAGGATTTCAGGGTGCTAGTTAGTGGACTCTAGGGGTAGTCAACATCTGCAAGCAAGTGGGCGACCATCGCATACACCGAACCATCATCTGGTTTAGGCCGTCGATCAGGCCGGCTATCGGGGTGTAACCACCGTGCTCAGCGTGGTTCCGTGGAACCACAACTGACAGTTGAGTGTCGGAGCGGGGTGAAACAGAAATATTCCTCAGTTGCACCCATCTGCTTCCTGAAGACCTCCGGTATGTTACTTGCGTGTACTTGTTAGAACCGTGGCCATGTCCTCTCTAGCGAACAAGCCGATATCGCGTCTTTGCTACTCTGTGCGATATATTCGTGCCAAGGTATCTGCAGTAGTCTATCATCGCTGGATATTGGCATGCAGCGACCATGCAACCGTATCGATGAAAAGGAGTTGCCGCACTTCGGCAACGCGCTGTGACCTAATATACCACCGTATTCCGCATTAAAACTGAAATAACTTTGATCTCATGACAGTCGTTTTGTGTTGGGGGTACGGCCTAGTGGAATTATTCTGCGGTTTACTCGAAGTTGACAGGACCTGAGGTAGGCCATCTTCTTAGCCCATTTGGCGGACAGTGTTTTACAAATGACTGCGCATATTAACGGCATGCTACCTTGTGCGCTTAAGCAGCGGAGTGACTTTTAACCTGAAAATTGCCCCTCCCCGGTAAGGAACTGAAGCGTGTTTGAGGACAGTGGCACTCACGTGAGATCTGACACCCACCTGAATGAGTCCTAGTGGACGTTGTATTAGGCACCAGGTCGTGTGTGGAACGCGTAAACGTGGTATCCCCATTTGCCCGTAACCTCACCCACGCCAAACTCCGGTTTTCTTGATTCTATCTTGCCAGCGGAAGTCGCTGGGTGAGTAAACAATCAGAGCAAGTGAGTGAGATGGATGCTGCGTAAGTCTGCTGGTCATTATCAATCAGTTCACTTGCTGCTCATTATTCGGCCTACCTCATGAATTTGTGGGGACCTCGCTGCTCGCGACAGTCAAGCTACCGTGTTTCGTTCGCACTCTTTAAGGCCATGGTGGGAAAACTGAATGGGACGTTTG